GTGCTCTGATGGTCCTACAGGTCTCTGATAGTGCTCTGATGGTCCTACAGGTCTCTGATAGTGCTCTGATGGTCCTACAGGTCTCTGATAGTGCTCTGATGGTCCTACAGGTCTCTGATAGTGCTCTGATGGTCCTACAGGTCTCTGATAGTGCTCTGATGGTCCTACAGGTCTCTGATAGTGCTCTGATGGTCCTACAGGTGAAGTGCTCTGTCCTACAGTGCTCTGATGGTCCTACAGGTCTCTGATAGTGCTCTGATGTCCTACAGGTCTCTGATAGTGCTGACAGGTCTCTGATAGTGCTCTGATGGTCCTACAGGTCTCTGATAGTGCTCTGATGGTCCTACAGGTCGTCTACAGGTCTCTGATAGTGCTCTGATGGTCCTACAGGTCTCTGATAGTGCTCTGATGGTCCTACAGGTCTCTGATAGTGCTCTGATGGTCCTACAGGTCTCTGATAGTGCTCTGATGGTCCTACAGGTCTCTGATAGTGCTCTGATGGTCCTACAGGTCTCTGATAGTGCTCTGATGGTCCTACAGGTCTCTGATAGTGCTCTGATGGTCCTACAGGTCTCTGATAGTGCTCTGATGGTCCTACAGGTCTCTGATAGTGCTCTGATGGTCCTACAGGTCTCTGATAGTGCTCTGATGGTCCTACAGGTCTCTGATAGTGCTCTGATGGTCCTACAGGTCTCTGATAGTGCTCTGATGGTCCTACAGGTCTCTGATAGTGCTCTGATGGTCCTACAGGTCTCTGATAGTGCTCTGATGGTCCTACAGGTCTCTGATAGTGCTCTGATGGTCCTACAGGTCTCTGATAGTGCTCTGATGGTCCTACAGGTCTCTGATAGTGCTCTGATGGTCCTACAGGTCTCTGATAGTGCTCTGATGGTCCTACAGGTCTCTGACAGTGCTCTGATGGTCCTACAGGTCTCTGATAGTGCTCTGATGGTCCTACAGGTCTCTGATAGTGCTCTGATGGTCCTACAGTCATGTAGCATTAGCAGCTTAGCACCAGGTGAATGTTGCCTCATAAATAGTGTAGGACCGTTCCCTTTGCTCTGTGTCAATGTGGAAAATGCAACTGTTGTTTTTTGCCCTGAAACAACAACCCTCATTAATGGGAGCAGGTGTCTCTTGCCTTATGGTGACGCTGTGTGTAATTATAAGTTTATATGTAATTACTATTTACTATAATAACCCAAGAGCGTCTGCAGCCGCTCGTGTAGAAATAAGTTTGTGTACGCTCTCAGAATTGTAAAGCGCGTTGTGACTCTGGTGTGTGAACGGCGCTATATAAAGATTACGTACTTACTTACTGACCAAGACGAGACTCATCCCCTGTTTCTATGGCGACCACTGCTCATGACAGAGGCCCTTACTGGCATCAGGGTGGGTCAAATGCAGAGGACAAAGGACATTGGTCTTGTGTTTGAACTGTTTGATTCTCTGATCTGTTCTTGGTGAATTCAATGGTTTTCAATCTTAAAATTTGTTACACATAATATTTCTTATATTGTGTAGAGAAGTAGAGAAGTAGAGAAGAAAGGGGTGAGATTATGAAGTGTTTCGCCCACTCCTTTTCAGACGGACTTAGTCGCCTCATTCTCGGCAGACGAGATCATACACTGAATGTTAGGGCAGCCGGGTGGGGGCTTTTTGATTGGGGGCATGTACCACTCTCAATGGGCCACTTTTCACCCTGGCTTTTTAATGCACTACAATAAATAGGGCAATCATTTATAATATAATAAACCTATATATTAAAAAAATAAAAATATAAATACCATACACGTTCTCAAACATAAAATGTATGGCAGCGGAGATGGTTGTGACAAAGGTGAAGTAGCCAGACAACAGAATACCAACGAACATGCATTAGTGTGACTAGTGACCATGGGCAAAGAGTGGCATTGGTGATGGGCTTCCTGTAGCACATTGCAGAAACAAGACGACTGATATAGTTGTGCTGTTTTTTTTTCCTTGTTTAGTTTATGATCAAGTCTGATATATAATCCGTACATTTCTCCAGTTTGAACTCTGTAGTAGTAAGTTTTGTTTTATGTCCATTTAATGATAAACTCAAAGAAGATTAATTGTATTAATCCGTAGGTGAATGTTGTTTCTTGATGTTTTGAAGCTTTTCTTCGGATGGAAAATGTAACTATTATTTTTTTTTTTCACGTAAGAGTACAGTAAAAATGTTAAAGTACTGTATGGATACATTACTCTAAGACGTACAGTTACTTCTATAAGTTACTCAAGTTCATGTACTTGAGTAAATGTAATTGTTTTCGTTTTGTTTTGTTTTTCGGAATTATTATTTTGGATTTGGACTGATTGTGCAGTATCACCGGGAAATGTAAATGTATATCATAGTGATTACGGGGTAGGCGTATATATAAGCTTCTGGCTTCAGCCTACTCCTTTTCTTTTTTGGAGCACCTCTAATAGAATGATGTAAATGTGAATGTTAAAATGTAAACGGCTCAAAAAAGAAAAAAAAAGAAAAAAAAAAAATATGTTGGTTGTTTGTTTTATGTACCTCATTTTTCATTTTCTTTTATTAACTTGCCTTTACTTTAATCGTTCTTCCACCGTTTGAATACATGAATAATAATAATAATGATAAAAATCGAAAAAACAATTATACTATCACTTAAAATGTTCATAATTGTTAACGCTGGTTCAGCCACGGTTTCTCCTTCGATGAAAAATGGACCACAAATTCTGCTTAGATATATAAAAAAGGTTTAATATATAAAAGACAGAATATAAGATACAGACAAGTGGCAGACTGCTTGATCAGTCTGGGCCCTGCTCCCTGGCACACCCAAAGCAAAAGACACTACTTCAAGACAGGCTATCGATGAAAAGCACACAGTCACATGACCTGATAATTGAAAACACATGTCTCACCATCCTTAGGTGAACACAATAGCTCCTTTCTCCAAAACACACAAATAGCCCCTGTGTAAGTAAGCCTGAGGCTATAACAGATGTTTTCTGCGCTCTTAATTTAACTTCCTGTGTATAATAGCTGGGGGTTTGACTCCGCACATTCTTGTCTCCTGCCTGGATCAATACTACTAGTTTTTAGATCCACACTAGACTAAACGTTACATTTATTAATATGATAATAACACAATAACATACTCCATTGACAATAATGAAGCCCATGTTCTGGCACTGACCTTAATCTTAAAGACAGAAACCCCATTATCCATATTCTGAACACAAAACAAGGCTGTTATAGACTTTGCCTTTGCCCCATCCAACAAAGACACACAAAAATAAACAAAGCTAAAGCACAATACTTCCTCTGACCTGGGTTCGACCTGCGGGACTAACCCGTTTCCCAAAATGCACTCTGCTTCTGTTATGTCACCTCCGCCGGCCGCCTCTTAAGCTTTTCCACAAACTTTGCCTCATGCATATTTAAACGGCGATATCTATGTGTACAGTGCGTTTTGGAAATCCATCACTCGCGATAGTCGCCAAGGTGACCATCATTCATATTCACGTTTGTTCACACGTGTCCCGCGATAAGCCCTCGGCACCCAGACAACCTTCGGCGCTCAATAGCACTTTGGAAGCAGCGGCCGCGTCCTTCCAGCGCCGATAAGACACAGCGGCTCTTGTAAAGGAATGCACGGACCTTGGAATGACATTGATAACGCTCTGAAGAAAGAACGATTCGACCGCAGACCAGTTCTTTGCCAAAACTTTAATATTATTACACCTGGAGAGCCAAACTGAGTCCCTGAAATCATGAGCTGGCGTCTCCTCTGGGTTAATGCCTGGTTTGTGATTTCTGTTTATTGTCCATTTACATAAATCACCTGTTTATCGTGTGGCAGAAATGACAGTGCAGTCCTAGGTTTTGCTAACAGCTACAGCTACGTCCAGGGAATGTTTTCCGACTGGTGTTTATGTGAATGGGGCTCACTGTGTGTGGTCTGGATTATATCATGCCATGTTGTTCCCTGCACTTTTAATGAGGCGTATTATGCAACAAACACATAATGCAGAGAAACTCATCAAAAACAGTGAAAGAGTTGAATTGTTTGGCTCCATCTTCACAAATGATCAGAACTTATTGCATGAGTGGTTGTCGGAGTTTAAAACAAAAGTGTTGGTGCTAAATAAGTTTGTCAATTTCATTTTGATGAAAAATACCTCTATATTTCTCACTCTATGTATGTAATATATACTATAAGTCGTCTACAGTTACAGATCTTTGAGATTCTTACTGTATTTGTCCCGTGTTAATGCTTTAACTCTTTGATGATCACTCCTAGAAGAAAGTAGGAGTTGCTGGGCGGCACGGTGGCTGAGTGGATAGCACTCTCGCCTCTCAGCAAGAAGGTCCTGGGTTCGAATCCCGGCCGGACCAGGGCCTTTCTGAGTGGAGTTTGCATGTTCTCCCCGTGTCAGCGTAGGTTTCCTCCGGGTACTCCGGTTTCCCCTACCACTAAAAATATGTACAATAGTTCTGGCATGCGCCTCCTGTACTGGCCCCGCTCCCATCTCTGTGTGGAGTGAGAGACAAATGCCCAAAAAATAACAATTGTAAACCGCTTTGTGACTCTGGTCTGTGAAAGGCGGTATATAAATAAAGCTTACTTACTTACTTACTACTACTTACTTACTAAAAGATGTAGTAGCACTAATGACACATTTTATTTGTATTATTATTATTTTGATGGTCAAAGCGTCTCAAACCAAGTGATAAAGGTTCCCCAAAGAGGCACATGTCAGTACCAAGCTTCAAGTCGCTTCAGTGACTCAAAAGGGAAATTATTAAAGGGTTAACTTTGTTGTCTGGTTCCCCTCCTTTCTCAAACCCATCTACAGACACTCAAGAGATTATGATATTCTGAATAAATGATGTCTAAGAGAGTATGTCTGTATGTTTGGCCTTTTTCAAAACGTGTCTACAGCATTATCGTCTCATTCATCCCAATCCTGAGCTTTTGCCCCTTGCTTCCTGTCCGCAGGTGGGACTGGTGCTGCACTACTCGTCCCTGTCCACCATGTTGTGGCTCGGCGTCACGGCTCGAAACATCTACGCGCAGGTGACGAAGAAGCCGCCCTCGATCCAAGACGGCGACCCTCCTCCTCCCCCTCCGTCCCCCCTACGACAGCCCCTGCTCCGGTAAGTCCTCGTAAACCACTCCACTGTCTTCCTCTGCTGTGTAAACGCTGTGCAGGAGCCTGGCTGCTTTTGCTCATTGCTTTGCAGCGTCTCCGTCTAAACTGGGTCTTCAACTTGAATCTTAATCTTAAAAATCTTGAAGTGTCTTGTCTTAAGACGCAACAATAGTTTAGCACTTAACAGCCTCAGCCTTCCCAAAAAAAGCAACAGACTAAGACTAAATATCTTTGTCATATTGGAAAAGCTTATAAAACACAGTCACAATGTGCTCAAGTTAAGATAAAAACCACTTGATTAATGCAATTATTCCCTCATATCTTATCATTTGTTTGCAGGGTATAAAAGTAATGCTATCAGAGAAGAAAGAAATAATTATGCACTAAATTGGCTTAAACCAATTCACAAAACGTAACAAAGAGAAATTGTGTTGACTCTTTTGATACAGTAGTTTGTAAAATAGAGGCTTGGAGAGATCTTACCTATGGCCTTTGACAGTGGCTCAGTTGGTAGAGCATTGGCCTTTGAGCCTGAAGGTTGTGGGTTCAAGCCCACCTCAAGATTTCTCCACTGATGTCTACTGTCGTTGTTGTCCTTGGGCAAGACACTTAACCCCACTTTTTCCTGCTGAATAGACTAAGGCAGTGCCATAGAGCAGCCGTCCTCCTGTGGACTCACCTCCTGCAGGAGGAGCAGTGAGGGGCTGCTGCTCTGTGTACTCGGGTGGCACCGCCCTGACCCGGAAATGAATGAATTGGTAGAAAATGGATGGATGGACCTAATGGCCTTTCTAGTTAAATTTGGAAATACCGTTCATTGTAGATTCTGATCTGGTCGACACATGTAACCCACATGAAATAGTAGCCCATGTCCCCAGGCTTTTATTGTGGCAGATTTCCTTTAAGATCCCTGCCCCACCTGTCACTCCCCCCTCTCCGGTCCCACTCATGCCAACACGCTGCTCCTGCTGTGGCGTGGACGTCTAATTGTGCCTAAAACGATCATTTAAAGGTTGTGAAACAACCGCATTCCCGTACCGGAGCGCGTCTCTTGTATGTCATTTATCGGATCCACAAACAAACTGTTGGGGACCGCTGAATACTCCTCCTCCTTCTTCCTTCTTGGTTTTTTTTTCTACCCTTTTGGATTGCTATTCTTTTTTTGACCATTGGATGGCGAGCTACCCGACCACTGCCCCCCTACCTGCATCGCTGTAGGACAATTTAACCCTATTCTATTTTCTCCAAGCCCTGGACTTCAAACCTTTTCGAACTGAAATTGAACTTTGATAAATTATTCTCTTTTCAGGAATTGTTTATTTGTGTTGTCTTGCATATATGTTGTTTTTGTCTTATGGTTTAATATAATATAATCTAAATATTCAATCTATTATTCATACCTGGTTAACATTTATTAATATACATTGATTTATAGAGCTCTAAACGTGGTCGTGGTGGTTTTTTGTCACACACTTGGCTCCGTGGCTGGATCTAGTTCTGTTATACATTGCAGTCAGCGCCCGAGCCTGCTACCGTTACACACATGTGAAACTACAAGTCCTCACAAGTATCTGGTCAATAAGTCTTTGAGAGTAAGGTCATGTTTTCTCTGGCATCTTTTATTCAATTGGCCTTGATGACTCCGCCTTCTCAGTTTTGACGGCAACTTCCTACGGCACTGACAACCTTGGCTTATATGTTGATATTGATGCTAAGTTCATTTTTAGTCCATACACACACGCACACGCACACACAAGCACACGCACACACACACACACACTTGCGCACACACGCACATGTGTGCATGCATTTATGCCTATTTAAACCAGCAGCTTGTGTGTTCTTTTCTAGAGAGAAAACTTGAAATGATCTCTCTCTAGTATCTCTCTGGTCTCTTTAAGATAAGATAAGATGTGCTTTATTTATCTCACATAGGAGAAATTTACATGACACATTTGGCATGGATAGAGACACTCAGGCTGAGTTTACACGGAGACAATGTGGCAGTAAAACGGTATAGTTGGATGTCGGTTCCTACCAACCGTTCATACGAAGACTGTGTTCCAGGTGAAAACGTAAGTGTTCAGATCCAGCCTGCAGAGTGGGACAACTCAGAAACGCTGCACAGCGGGGGCTCTCTTTCACACCCGTGAGAGGGGGAAAGGTGTGAAATCCCCCTCTGCTCTGACCCCCACCTCCGCGCTGCTCCCGCACGTACATTTGGACATGCGCAGTAGCGGAGAACAAACAAAAACAACAATGGCGCCGCCCACACAAACTAGCTTCGTGGGCTTCCAGCGCGGGACAGAGGATAATTCTACACCTTCGTTCGTCCAAACGAGACCACGCGAAGCTCTAGGTTCAGTTTCCATTTTCCCAGATGCTGTTAAAAAGCAGAATGATGTTGGTACTTTCTGAGGGTCTGGCACAGGAAGTGAGTACACTGCCGAGGTGGGGGCTGGGCACGGGGCTGGGGGTCGTGTGTCGTGTTGTAAAGTTTCTCTGCCCACTACTGGCCGGGCGCTAGAACTACATCATTTTTCAACCTCATGTGAACGCTGAGAAATTTGCATTAGGAGCCAGGTCGTTTCTGTTAATAGCCTGGAAACGTCTGCGCAGCGTCTCAGTATAAACAGGGCCTCAGTCTCTCTAATCTCTCTCTAGCATCTTTCTGGTCTCTTTAATCTCTCTGGTCTCTCTCTGGTCTCTTTAATCTCTCTAGTCTCTCTCTGGTCTCTCTCTGGTCTCTTTAATCTCTCTAGTCTCTCTCTGGTCTCTCTCTGGTCTCTTTAATCTCTCTAGTCTCTCTCTGGTCTCTCTCTGGTCTCTTTAATCTCTCTAGTCTCTCTCTAGTCTCTCTCTGGTCTCTCTCTGGTCTCTTTAATCTCTCTAGTCTCTCTCTGGTCTCTCTCTGGTCTCTTTAATCTCTCTAGTCTCTCTCTAGTATCTCTCTGGTCTTTAACTAGTCTCTCTTTCTGGTGTCTAGCTGGCCTCTCTCTGGTCTCTCTCTGGTCTCTCTCTGGTCTTTTTCTCTGCCTTGAATTGAATCCAGTGTGAGTCGAGCTGTGGCTCCCTCCTAACCATCAGACTGAAGCCAAACTTATTGTTTTTACTTATTGAATGATGAAGGGTAGTGACCCGAAACGTAACATTTTGTTGTGATTATCAGATTCAGATTCAGATTCATTTATTTGCCATTTGCAGTAAAACCACATAGGAAAAACTGTGCAAGACTACCCCGGTGTGCACCAAACAGAGAAGACGACACACACCAGAGCTCTTGCCATTATTAAAATCTCCTGGGAGTAAAAGCTGTGCAGAGTCATCTCCATTTCTTTCATTCATCTACTTTCAACCAGTGACAGTAACTGTAAAATATTTCTCTAAAATGAAAAACAAGACAATTTCTTGGAAATTAGATGTTTGCAAATTATTGACCAAAAAGACGTTCAGAACTTTACACAGAAAACAATACCAAGATATTAAAGAGTTCAAAATCAACGATGTTGAATTCTCTAATACTAATACTAATACTAATACTAATGCTCTTTGAGCTCCGATGTTTCCCTGTCTATCCCTATGAGCTGAGTTACAATCTCCTGCTGAACAGTTTTATGGAAATGTGTAGAAAAAGATGCAACTCCGCAACTTGTAGTTTTAAAACATTTCAGGACATCGGCCTCTGCTGTATCTATCAGTGCATGTCTTGTGTTTAAGCTCTTTGATTCTCTGATCTGTGGCGAATTCAACAGTTTTGTAAATCAAAGGGGGGCAGCTTTGATTGCCACCCCCTGACCCAGATATGGATAATGAAGGGATGAACATGAATGAATGAATGAAGGTAAAGTCCTCTGAGATAACTACTGTCGTGATTTAGGGCAATACAACTAATTCAATTCAATACATTTAAATCAATTGAAAACCAAACATAGAAATATTTTGACAATTTAAACCCCGGCATGATCCCTTTGGCTTACTAGAAAACTTTATATATTATGCATACTTGTCGGAAAGAACCCCATGAGTCACTATTTGATGCTCTGGGCTGAGACCGGATTGGCTGAGTGAGGGTGGTTGTCTCTTTTCTGTCTGGAAAAGCCGACATTAAGATAACTAGGAGTAAAACTACTGATACTGTGGAAAATCAACCTCACAGAGACAGGATTTATAAGCACCTCGAAGTTTAATCTAAGTTTCTCTCAGTTTTTTCAGACAGAAGTCAGGACAAACTCTAAATCAGGGGTCTCCAACCTTTTTCAATCGAAGAGCTACTTTTATACAAACGAAGAGACAGAGAGCTACTCCTTTTTGCAGTCGTATTAATAATCGATCTAATAATTACGACAAAACATGGAGAACACATACGTACACCATGATGCTGTGTAACCCAATACTTATAGTAGATATGTAATGGCTCAAAAAGTATTAATTCAAGATCATTTGCTAAATTCTAAATCCTTTGGCGAGCTACCTGAAAGGGGCTGGCGAGCTACTGGTAGATCCCGAGCCACAGGTTGGAGATCCCTGCTCTAAATAGTCAATGTTGCGTCACACACACATCAAGAGACAATCAGAATATAGTAGACAAAAGACAGATACACAATAACAGCGGACACACAACCGGAGTCCTCGTGACTTACCCAAGGCCAGATCACTTGTATATCTATCTATTTCCCACTAGCATGATTGTATATAGCTCGTTGCATTTTTTTCCCAACAGAATGCTTCCCAAATCAACATTCATGATGGAATGTGTGGGATTATGGAGCGACCGCTGTCACCGTCATCCCGCCGTTTCTTTGTCCCATTTCATAATCTTACTTCCTGTTGCTTCACCTCTACCTCAGCAGTGACCTTTCTCTGCTTAGCTTCACTTGCCGGGCCTTCTCTCCTTTCGCAGTCTGTCCTCTGTCCTCTGTCTTCCCCACACACACCAAACAGAAAGAAAGAAATTCAATTACAATCAGGATGTTTGTCTGGGAGGGTGGCGGGCTGTCAGAGCTACCTCCAGGGAAGAGGCTCCAGCAGAAAGCCATTTGCACACACGTCACGCAGATGAGGGTAAATGACGGGGACGGGAGCGTGTTTGGCAATCACTCACTCGCCACGCCACGGCTAGAGCACGCCACGGTCATGTACGCCTTCTAATAATGATGGAAGGATTGCACTGGTAAGAGTTTGGCTTTAACGCTAAGAAAGATGAAGGTGCGAGAACTCAGACAGCTCCCGTCCAAACCAATGGAAATGTGGGAAATTCATTTTTAATTTTTCTCCAGATTCATTCAAATTAACTCGTTTAACTCTTTATCAGCCAGTATTTTTATGAGAGCGTACTGTGAGATGACACCATTTAAGATTAGACGATAGTGGATGACTTTAATCAGAAATAGAAATAGTGATACAGACATAGAGAAATAGTGCAATAGGCAAAGTTTAGAGGAGACATATCTTGCTGTATAGAAAGTGTCTTGGATTTAAACAGGGCGACATTTGCTCAGTTGGTAGAGCCTTTAGACCTGAAGGTTGGAGGTTCGATCCCACCACGAGACATGTTCTGGATATTATCTGCTGCCATCGTGTCCATGGGCAAGACATTTAACCCCACTTTGCCTGACGCCCTCGCTGAACAATCTGCCATCGCTGACGGAGCAGCCATGATCCTGTGGACCCAGCACCTACCAGAGGATCTAAGAGGGACTGACTTAAAAAGAGATCTGCAAATGGGACAAAGCAAATGTTTATATTATAACAAGATTAAGAAATGTTATCATTGGAATGAACAATGAAAAAGTAGTTATTGAAAAAAGACTAAATGGCTTTGGCGACATTGGCTCAGTTGGTAGAGCAGTGGTCTTTGGGCCTGAAGGTTGTGGGTTCAAGACCACCACAAGACCTACTTCACAACTCCCACTGATGTCTGCTGTCACTTTGTCCTTGGGCAAGACACTTAACCCCACTTTGGCTGAATGGCTGAAGCCCCCACTGAATAATCAAGACTACTGTGCCCTCCCCCCCCCCCCCCCCCCCCCCCGACCCAGAAATTGATTAAGGGGAAGAAAATGGATATATGGATGTCTTTGTCCCAGTGGCAAATTTTGTTTTATCACAGTCAAAATCTATTCAAATTAATAAAATATAAAAGAAAATTAAACGCTTGATTACAATTATCACCTCATCTTTTATCATTTTTGCAGTGTAGACACAAGAGGGCACTGATAATGAGATCTAAAGGTATAGTTTTTCTCTGCAAGCGTGAATGCACTTACTCTATAACAATGGGCAGAAACTGTCCCGTCCAAGACCTTGGATCGCTGTCACTTTGAGTTTCACCGTGGCGACAGACGCCGTAACCATCCGAAAACAACATGCAGCAAACATGACAAGCTGCAGCGCAAACATAAAGCATAGATGCCAGATTCAATAAACCAAAATAAGCAATTCCTGTCAAGTTATTGCAGCTTCATGCCAGGCTTTGACAGAGCAAAACATGTGTCAGTGACCGAGGAAGGCATTTCAGACCATCAGCAAAACCATCGCACTAGAGCAGAACGAAAACACAAAGGTCCAGCCAGTGAGATTTCATAGAGGCTTTACATATGATCTAGCCTGGTCTTACCATGTGTAAACTCTGGTCCATGATCCACTCCTACATGTGCGTCTGGTCTTACCATGTGTAAACTCTGGTCCATGATCATTTCCTACATGTACGTCTGGGTCTGATCCTAGTGGCTGCAGTTTCCTCGGTTGAATCCCCTCCGACCAATCAGAGAGCGGGGGAGGCGGGTCTTGTAGGTCGGTGTCTGTGACGTCAAGAGTTTGCGCCACATTTACTGATTGTAGTTTGGCATTGGCGCACTTCTAGCAACAGATGGACCTGGTACTTTCTTGTTATTGTTTCCAACATCCAACATATTGCGCTGAAACTGAAGACACCCAGTTGGAAGGTATGTTATCTTTCATAATTTAGAGGAAAAACTTTTGGTTCACAAGGCAGAACATGGCTCATGTGCATTCACACCAGGAGCCTGAGGAGCGGCTGCTGCTGGTGCCTCTCTGAAAACTATGGAGAAGTGTGGAGGACAGTACAGCCCAGAGAACTATTATATACTATGTGCAAGTCTGATGTGTTTTTCCTCATGGTCTGTGAGATCTGGTTTGGTCAGATGCAAGTCCAGAATCACCGTCAAACTTGCCAGTCCCCCCACTACATTTTTCATCTTAAATGCTTGAAAAAAATGCTTAACATAAATGAGATATAGCTGAATTGAATGCTAACGGCTACATGTAAACATTGTGTTGCTAATGGTAACGAGCATTTTCTCCAAGTCCGAACCAAATAATCAGAATCATTTCATAAAACAAATATTGGCATTGAAATTAACTACACATACAGTAGAAACATTAATTCATAAATATTGAGGAGAAATATGAGGTGTCTCTCGATGTTTGTAGAATTGTTCAGACCAGAAATCCAACCAAAAACAAGCAAAGAATTGAAACAGTGCGACAGTGAATCATAACAATGGGAAATATTCGTTGCTGGTATTGTCACAGCCGCTAAACCTTCCCATCTCTTCCCGCAAAAATCTTCAGCTAAGCGTCTTCCCAGTGTGCTCATTTTGCCCTTTATTTAATAGTCTCTAGAAAATAAACACGGTGGCGATGTGAGCGGCTGTTTTAAGTGAGTCGGGAGCAGTAATCACGGGATATAAATAGACTGGAGTGTTGTTTTTTTTTCTTCTGGTGCAGGGGTGTGCAGGCTTCTCCCTCTCCTTCCCCACACTGAACACTGATGTTTTGGATCCCGGCCAGAGCAGAGCCAGAGACCCGGGACGGTTCATGGTCATGGCGAGCTGTAGGCTGCGTTTATGCATAAGTAGAATGGATACGGCGTGAGTAGACAAAGGGCTGTCCGTGTCAGCAGCTTTGAACAACAGATCACTGCGGCTCAAGGGGTTTATGAATAATGCACGCAGCTGGACTTAATGACCAGTGGTGGTGGAGGCGACGAATGGGGTTGGGTTAAGAAAACTACAGTGCACAAAATCAAATCAAGCAGTCCATAAATACACCATCAGAGCGAGATACTCAGTGTACCTTCTGTCTGTGCGGAGACATGTCCAGTTCAAAGTTATGGACTGGTTTTGTCACTCTGCTCATGACTAACTTAACTATTTGCAACAAGGGGAGTGGAGCACAGGTACATGAAGACACAGAGACACAGGTATAATGCACGCCGCTGGACAGAGACAAAGGTACATACACAGTATAGACACAGGTACGTATAGACACACAGAGACACAGGTACATACAGTATAGACACAGAGACACAGGTACATATAGACACAGAGAGACACAGGTACATATACACACAGAGAGACACAGGTACATATACACACAGAGAGACACCGGTACATATAGACACAGAGACACAGGTACATATAGACACAGAGAGACACAGGTACATATACACACAGAGAGACACAGGTACATATAGACACAGAGACACAGGTACATATAGACACAGAGACACAGGTACATATAGACACAGAGAGACACAGGTACATATACACACAGAGAGACACAGGTACATATAGACACAGAGACACAGGTACATATAGACACAGAGACACAGGTACATATACACACAGGTACGTATAGACACAGTGTTGGGTTGTATGGGTTCTACTAGTGTAACAGTGAAGCCTAAAGCAGCTGTAGCCCGATGTTTGAGACCTGGGAGACACAAATGTTACATCTTTAAGGCTAAGCAGGGCAGGGATTGGTTAGAACTGTGATGGGAGACCTCTGGGAACACCAGGTGCCACAGTGGGGCGGCAAATTGTCGTTGTGTCCTTAGGCAAGACACTTCACCCATATTAGAATGAGTCTGGTGTGTGTGTGAATGGTTGGTGGGAGGGGCTGATGGCACAGACACGTTGACTCACTTCCGTCAGTGTGCCCCAGGGCAGCTGTGGCTACAGTAGTAGTTTATCACCACTGTGTATGGAGTGAAAGCATAAAGGCAAGTGAAGCGTCTCTGAGCGTCCCATACATCACTGTATACATGAAAAAAACACGTATTAATATTTTGATGATTAGGTTTTAGGCCAAATGAACAGAGTATGTGTTTATTCATATTTATTCTCACTTTCCTCCGTTCCCATTATGCATGTGATGAGTTGCAACTGTTGGTGGGTTTCTGGGTCTGCTCTAGACCTTTTCTGAGCCTGAAAGCTGCTTTTACATGAACAAAATAATCAGGTATGAAGTGCCGTTAAAAGGATTTGCTACGGCCCCTAAAAGAGAGCGAGCCGCAAAAAAGAAACTCAGTGTTTGTCTCACGTCTCAAAACAGTCGCCGGAGATCAGAAGAAACTGAAGTAGGTCACACTGGAAAAAATACCGATAACAAAAGTGATCGAAAGTCAATCTGAGGCGGGTTTGTGTCACAGAGTCTGGTGGATCCAAACATAATCCAGACGTGATCCAGACGTGATCCAGACGTGATACAGACATGATGCAGACATGATCCAGACGTGATCCAGACGTGATCCAGTTGTGATCCAGACGTGATCCACTTGTGATCCAGACGTGATCCAGTTGTGATCCAGACGTGATCCAGTTGTGATCCAGACGTGATCCAGACGTGATCCAGACATGATCCAGAAATGATTAAGACATGATCCAGACGTGATCCAAACATGATCCAGACGTGATCCAGACCTGGTCCAGACGTGATCCAGACATAATCCAGACGTGATCCAGACGTGATCCAGACATGGTCCAGACGTGATCCAGACATGATCCAGACATGATCCAGACGTGGTCCAGACGAGGTCCAGACATGATCCAGACATGATCCAGACGTGGTCCAGACATGATCGCTGAGAAAGAGACCAGTGAACCCTGTTTACACCAGCCCTACTCTACTCTGCTCTACTCCACTCTGTCCTACCCTACTCAACTCCACTCTACTGTATGCTTCTCTACTCTACTCTACCCAATTGGAAGCGTTTCCATGCGTGGCCATCATTCTGGTACTAAAGTGTTCTAACTGGCAAACCTTGGTTACCTGTAGTAATTCCTCCTTGGTACTGGTTTAAGTAAGTAAGTAATTGTTATTGTTATAGCGCCTTTCAGAGACCA